CATACAGGTCCTGGACATTGTTAAGTCTTAGAGTAGGTCCCCTAGCATGGTGGGTTAATAAAATTGAAGGAGAGCACCATCCGCCACAAATTTCTCATGTGCATGGTTTTCAAGATAGGGCACACTGCTTGCTAATATTAAGCACATGTTGAAGTCAGCCAGCTGTTACTTGCAAAAAAGTCCCATTGATGTCAGTGAAAATGTGTCAGCACGTAAAGGGTGCCTTGGGATTAAGGACTGTAGAATCAAACCCAGCAGAATTCAAATGCACTAAGGGTAAAAATAAACTAAACTGTACAGTTCCCCTAGGGCACAGAAGATGCAGGTAGGGTCACTTACAGCTAAGATCATCTGACCTGTTCCATTCCAACACTGCCAAACTGGACCCATTTGGGCTGAAATTTTCCATGCCACAGGGGTCTACCTTGAACTGAATTCTTTTGGACAGTTCCAGCTAAACTGGTTCCACCATTTCTGAGCATATGCTCAGAGGAAAAAGTATCATTTTGCTCCTGTGAAAAGAATGTCTATAAATGTCACTAGGCTGTCCGGCTCGTTCCCAGAGATCCATCTATTATTCTATGTACTAAATGAAGGGGGGGGGGGGGGGGGGGACTTGTGGGCAGACCTAGAATTTTGAAGAGGAGAATGCACCATACATATAAAATGACATTTCTCCAGTTAAAAAGAAACTAGATTCTTTACTAATATGCTAGGAACCTATGGCTGTATTATTCAGTTTAAGATTGAAGCAAAAACAAAATATAAAGTTCATTGGCATGGGTTGAAAAACAGTTTGCAGGGCTGTGAAATGGGACCTTCATTACCAGGAGGAGGAACAGACAGCAGAACCAAGGATAGCTTGATTGGTGGCACATCCAGGCCATTTTAAAAACCAGAGGGTTGTTAACACATGGGGACTGAGTTTAGAAGGTTTATAATAAGCCATGTAGTCAATTGAGTCCCTCAGTTGGGTGGAGCAGGAATCAAGGGGGGGTGCAAGTGAATCCCCCTGGATCCACCCCTGCACATGAGCATATCATACCTGTATCACAATGATTATACATAAAAGGCCCAAATTAAAGTTGCATAGGAAACCTTAACTATAGCATTTCCTACCTTTTGAGTACTTGTCTTTGCAACCTTACTGTTCTTTTAACATGGTCTTTTTTGGATTGAAAATAGTATGCAATACGTTGTGCCATATATTATGCAAGTTAATAAATAGCTGTCATGGTTGTTACAAAAAATTAACTTAAATATATTTATTTTAAAAATAAAGAAATGATGTTAATCCTGAAAAGTAAAGGGCTTCTGAAATTTAATTGTGTTTTGGTGAGTGGGTGTGAGGGAGGAATTAAATTTCAGTGTTAAAAAAAAAGTAGCAGGCAAACAAATGCAGCATATAAAACACACAAGGTAAAATGTTCCAGAGCCTATTAAGGTTCAGTAGAACTTAGGATACTACACTGCTTTTGGGGCATTTGGAAATTTTGCCTCCAGTGTATTTAAACAGATGATAATGAAACCAGTGATTGCATCTCCATATATCCTTTCACAAACAAGCACTTTATTTTAAAGCAAAGTTACTTCTTTAATAGTTTATAGGAATGAAGCGTCTCACTACCAAGAGTTTGCCATCAGACTAAGTAGCTCTAACCAAGAGACAACACAGGCAACTTCATCATTCATAGAAATGAGAGCCAGGTTCTGCTTGTTCTTAAATTGGCTCTGGTGATGATTTTTTTCAAGGCCTCCATCAAGTCATTTAACCTTTCTGCATTATCTGTGAAAAGGAGATAATATTGTCCACTGTTAAACTAAGCAATAAGGGCAGACTAGATAATGGCCTGATAGTTTGAGCACCATGCTGGGAAGCGGGAGGTTCAAGCCATCTCTGAGTGAGGAGAGCCTGCAACCTCGATCTTTCTCTTCCCCATCATGGATTTTTTCTGAAGCTACATCTTCAGGACTTAGCTTACCTAGATATATGCACGTACAGTACCCTATACCAGCTCAGGCTACTCAACATGCTCAGGAGCTGTGTGGACATGCAAGTGACATCCAAGGGCCAAAACCAACAGTTACATAACTGGATCAGTGCCATTTGGGCCTGTAAAGTGAAATAGGATTCTGCCTTAATGTCCATAAACACCATCTACCCAATACATTTATGAGTTGGTCACAATGGCAGCCAAACCAGAACTGAACTTGTGACCGTCACAGCTAAAAGTACACAACTATACAGCTAAAACAAAAAACCTGAGAGCTGTAGCAGACTCATCCTCTGTGAATCAAGCCCAGCAGCAGACAGGTGACACACACTGGCCAACAGGTTACACTAACATTAACCAGAACACACATCCAGTCCTCCGGTGATGAAAAGCCTAGAAGCCCCAGACTCCCTGCTTACTTGGATGACTGCTTCTTCCAAAGGGCTTTTTAACATTGGAAATGATATGTTAATCCCAGCACAAGCAGCCTGTGACTACCTTCTGCAGTGGGGGGGGGGGGG